ATTGTCTGATGAGGAATTAGGTAATATTCAGTTCCACAGACTTTGAAATCAGCAGCAATTTGAGACCCAGAAAATGTATACTAATTATGCTGTTGGATGAATGCAGTTCCAAAAACCATTGCCTTATGCTTTTGTTTAGCGTGATTGATGTATTTTACATTGACGCAAATAAATGGGCCTTTCTTTTTCTTTCTTTTCTTTTTTTTTCAATCCACAAACAGAAGAGCTGACTCTGCTCCTGTCTGACAGCTGGAGTCGGGAGATGTCTGTTGTTGTGAAAACGTGCTCCTCTGAAAATGTCTTTCCTCCACAGACTGCTGTGATGCTGTGTCCACACACACTCAAAACAGTTGTTCCCCGTCCAAAAATGCGTCACCTTAATCTTAATCAAGTGGCGCACACACAGATTCAGAGTTACAATTCTCAGAGACTGTGCTTGTGTGAGAAGATTGGCTGCAGACGTAGATTAAAATGACAGACTTGAGGTCTCCACGGCTCAGTATTGATCGGTATTGACACTGAATTGATCTATCCTCCTAGCCTTGCCATTTGGCAATGACACCTGGAAATATATATTTTTGCTCCACGACTGATCTGTTACATTTCCTACTTTTTTTTTCTTTTTTTTTTTTACTTTTTTTTCTCCTACCTGTCAATATCTTTATAATTTCTTAAAAATATCTTAACAAATATTAGGGTCTTACTGTATAACTTTTCGTCATCTCATTTTTAAATAATTTGGTTTCTCTGTCTTCTTTTTATTTTCTTTGCTCATTTATTTGCCTGTTAGACTTTCCTTGCCTGACCCTCAGAATCACTGCATATGATTTAGCATTTCATTTCCACATCAGACTGTCAACTTCTCTGTTGCAAAGCTATTTTGAAAAGCAGTTTTCCTTTACTTCTATGTAAATAGTGTCTTTGTCTGTGGATTATAAACGGCTCTCCCCAACTGACTTTTTGAAACAAAAATGTTGAACAAAGGAACTTTTCTGCTGCAACTTTCTGATGCCACAAGTTCAACATTTCCCCAAAACTCTATTCTATTACTCTACCTGAAAACTGTGTAAAATGATGTCTTTAATACTTTATGTAATTGCTTTTGTCATATGTTGTGTAGAGAATGACTAAAGAAAATAAAACCAGGGCCAGGAAAAAAAATAACCATAATACCTGTTCTATTTCTGATAGTTGCTGCCCACAAGCTGCCTACACAAATTCATTGCCATCCGTTTTTCTTTTCCTTTTAACTTTGATTCATCCAGGATTTCTGCTGGATAAACAGTGTCTTTGATCACTGTCCTGCTGCGCATTCATATGGTTGCGTACAGTCATATGTCGGACATGCCGAGGAAAATCACTATAGTGAGACAAAGAAATTTAAACCCTCTGGAGTCCAGGTTCTTCTTGGTTAACTTTTGCAGAGCTTATGTGTTCATTTTTGTCTTTGTTTAGCACCTTTTAAACTGTTCTTACACCACATGCATGCTAACACATTTCAGTACAAGTTCAGCTATAAGCCTGACTTATCGTTTAGTCAATTTCACAAAGTGAAAAGCTGCAAGGAGCCCACAATATGAGAAAAAAGGAAAAAATACTGCTATAAAACAGTTCAAGGTTGTAAGGAATATTATTTCAACTATTTATACACAGAAGAACAGCAGAAAATATGAGAAATAAACTATAAGTCTATTAACATATAAAGTGATTTATTCCAACTCTTTTTGTGCCTTTTTATTGAAAGTATATGTCATTGTAAATCACTGAAATCAAAGTTTGGATGTTTTCAGCTTCCGTGCTCTGTCTGTTTAGTCTGTTCATATGACATTTCTGTTTGTTTTAGACTTTCCTGTTTTAGTATTCACTTCACTGCCCAGTCCTCTATCTTTCTGCAGCCATAATTTTTGCCTTGGAGGTGTCTTACGGAAGTTAAACATGCACTGGGAAGTAATTCTCTCAGCTTGGATGCATTATCATGCTTTGATGAATAATTACAGGTACTGAAAGACTAATTGTATTTTTTCATTACACAAGATATCAGTGTGGCATGCTTGTGTACTCACACCAATTAAGTTGAACAGGAAACTTGTTTGTGTCGGCTTCTAGCAAAGTCACACAGAATTGGCATTTTGACTATGTTCTGCATCTCTGATAGTCTTTCAGACTGAAATAGGATTCTGTGGTGGGACATACAGTTCAGTACCACGGGGGGAGGGAGCGTTCAAAACTTTGAAAACTCGGAGCTTAATCTTCAGCCGTCATCTGAATTCTTGCGAATGAATAAATTAAAGCCACCCAGGGTTATAACTGTGGTGTTTTGGGAAAACGGAACAAGATTTACTCGGGGTAAATCGGATAGGAGGAATGGAGGCAGGGTTTGTTCAGAAATCTGTAATGCTACCACAGATTGTGAGTTTTTAATGTTTGCATAATGTATTGATGAAAGAAAAACTATAAATCTGCCATTTTCATTTAGATTATTACTGCATCGAAGCTAATGCCAAGTCATGCAAGTGTCATCCACAACAATACACAACAGTCAAGAACACCGACAACAACACCAGTGCAAATTGTAGCAGTGATACAAAGTGGGGTTACGTGCCAAGTAGCATTATTTGTCGATTCCTCATTGAGAATACAGTACAACACAATGTGTAATATCCCTGTTGTAAGTTACAGCCAGGTTAGTGTGGGTTGCTTTATCATTAGTGAAGTGTTATTCAGCCCTATATTGACTTAGTGCAACATAATCAATTTTACAAAATGAAAAGCTACAAGTCACAGACTGTATGTAAGTGTGGTACACAACAAGTATTTTGGTGTGGAAATATTTTAGCTCTAGCTCTAGCTCAGAGTCTCCAAGGGGGCGTTCCTTTCTGGGACAGATTGATAACCAATCGGATGACTGATATCAGCCTCTGGTCGCACTGAAAGCAGGTGAGACAGGGAGAGACAAACTGTTCTGTGATCAAAGACAGGTCAGCTTGGCGGAAATAATGATTTTGTTTTTGTCTGGGATTTCTGCAGGCAAAACAAAAATCTTGTTTTTTATATTGTTGGACATGTAGATCAGCTGAGAAAATAGTTTACCTGGATCAAATACAGTGAGTAGGTAATAAATTATACTGTTGCTGTTGCTTGTTTTGCCATATGGCTTACAGATAAAATCAATCAGCTACTTACCTCTTGTCAAATTCAAGCTAAAATCTATTTTTTGTGTCTTTGGGTTCTGACTCTTTCCACACATCCCTGTAAACATTTGTTATTTAGCCGTGAATCACGGGAAAATGATATTAATTGGCATAACCTTCTGGGGTGGACACTAACACACTTGTTCCATCTATTACCAACAGATGGCTCTTTAGAATGACACTCACTTTGTGACCTTTAGCTCAGACAGTTTTATTTCGCGACAAGGACAACATTTTCAAGAGGGACACTATTTCTTCAGTCAGCGTGCATATTTATCAGCCTTTTTCTGGGAGGGATTTAATGTAAGTTATAGCAAGGTTACCTTGGAGTCTCTGGTCAAAGTTACTGAGGCCACAGACAATGAGATCAAAACAGTTTGAGGATCGTATTTTAGAAAGACAGGAAGATTAAAAGGAGAGACGGCTGTACAACTGAATAGCAAATCAACTCATTGTCTTTAATAGACAATCCCCATACAACATGCACACAAGCGCTCAAGCTGTTGTGTGTCAGTGTGTTTGTTTTAGTGCTAGAGGCAGTTCCATGTGGTTCTATGACACCAGGCCTTGACATTAAACAAACTTTGCCCACATTAAACTTTGCCCCAATCAATGGGAATCTTGCTTCATGAAGCGTGCCTCTGTGAACTTTTTACTGAATCATTGTCGGATTAAATCAATGCAGGTTCCTCTAATAAAGTTTCAGCTTTCCCCCCAGACATGAAGAATGTGAGAAACGATTGCACTGAGCATGTGAATTCATATATATTAGTTATATATTAGTTAAAGTTTCCTGCAAACGTATATCTAATAAGTTTATAATTGTGGATGGAGAGCATGCATCATGGCCTATTACCATTTCACTTTTACAATAAAGCCAGTTTTGTAGAAAGCTACATTTTTAATCTTCAACTCGCTCTGAATAAAATGTCACTAATAAATTACTTTCATAAAAATTATGACAGCTACTCATTATAGTAACTCAGCTCAACAAGACTAAAGGTCTAAAGCCCCAGTAGTGGCCTCGAGAGGCTGCACTGTTCATTACACCTCACATTATAACAGAGTTGGACAAAAAAAACCCCCAAAAAAACAGTCAGTCATTTTAATAGTAATCTGCCCTATGGATTGTGAGAGGTCTGGTGTGTGAAGATGACATTTTGGTTGGAAGGTGACAGACTCACGGAGTGTCGAAAATGAAAATGGGCAACCCTGTGTGAGGAATGAAGATGGTCAGAAAATTCAATTTTTTTAAATGGAAATTGTAGCTTGATGGTGGCTCTAGAAAAAAAAAAACATCTGGGGTATCGTGAATGTCTGCACCACAATTTATGGCAAAGTGGTCAGACATGTTGCCCTGGACCTGGAAAAGTTTGAGCTGACAGTGGCACTAGAATAAAGGTCATAGGGTCACCAAAATCCTTAGGAACACTGCTTATAAATATTCATACAAAATGCCATTGTAATCTAACCAGTAGTTTGTGTTGCTGTGGACCAAAGTGTTGAACAAACAGATGGACTGATCATCCAAGGTCAAAGCACACCATATCCCACATTCATACCATAAGATATACAGCAAATCATAATATAATGCTGCTAAAGAGTTTTAAGTCAATGTTCCTTGATGTGAATTCTCAGTAAGTGTGTCACACAGTAGTTCTCTTTGCAACAGCCTACAAAAGTGCACATCTGCATACAAATGCGAGTCATCCTCTGACGCGCCAGATGCTTCCTCCGCTGTCATCTTAAAGTTACACTGTGTCTCAGCACCGCACGGCTCGGCTCTCTTATCTCTGACCCGCTGTGATTGTGATGGGACGGGCTTGGCTGAAAGCAGCCTGATTCGCTGCTGTCTGTGGATAACAAAACCCCGCGCACACAGCACATGCCTTTCCTCTGTTCATGCTGTCACTGTCAGAGAGGTCCGGGCAGCAGCAGTCGGTGCTCGATTGGTTTCGTCTGAAGAAACCATGGCAGACCTAGGGGATAATGTTACAATTCCTGAGTTCAGCTGCCTTCTCCAAATGGATCCCTATCTCAAAACGTACGAGAAGGACTTCAAGAGGAGGTAAAAACACGGCTTAAACGGCGGTTTTTTGTCACGGTGTATCGTTAAAATCAGTCCCCGGTGAAGCTAACAGAGAGGCCAGGCTTAATCTGGCATTCGTGTCTTGAAATAAAACACACACAAACAAAAAGACGACGTTCGCAACACCAGACAGTAGCCTTCTGTGCTCAGGTTTGACATTTTGAATTAGGGGAGGTCGCACAGAGTTGCGTACCCCTCTCATGCGTAGCAGCTAGCTTGTTATTCCGCCCCCCCCTTTTTCCCAGACTGCCGAATAAAAAGCGTTTAGAGAGTGTTCATCTTATTTATGAACCGCTAACAGAGAGCCTTTTCATTTGATGTGACAAGTTACTGACGAAGTTGAGTCGTCTCTCAACTTCCTATGTTTGACAGTAGGGATATGGTCCTCGGTCAGGTGACGTCCACGTTGCGTCATGAGGTCAGACTGAGCTGGTGCATCACTGTGGTCTAGCATCACAATGCACTTTGCTTTCTGCAGGCCTCGGTCCTCATTAATAGCTTTCTTGCTATGATTGTCTGGTCTGGTTGTTATCGAAGCATCAATTATCCTAAATTGTGTTTTTAAAATTGGATTAAAATCCAGAGTTTCTGACGCTTCCAACTTGGAGCACGTACTGTACAGTAGTTGATTGCTTTGCGTCGTGCAGTGTGAAAGGCTTTGCAATATAAATAACCTCTCAGACATTAATTGACTTTATGCAATACTCATATGCTGCATGATTTTCCCCTTCAGCCTCGATTTGGCCTCCATACAAATTAATTATTAGGGTGGAAGTCTTAAGTAGCTGACGCTGTATGTGTGGTAGAAGTGATTGTGCAGTGTGTGTGTGTGTGTGTGTGTGCTATGGCATTTATTAATCTGGAATTATTTCCATCATAAATTCCAATCACATTTTCCCGCACTTGCCAGAACTATGATGGTTGATGGTATCATACTACACATAGGACTAGAATATGTTTGCATGATGCATGTTCTTAATTGAGTCATATATTTATGCCAGTAATGGAAAAAAACCAAAGCGGAAAGTTCTGATAAATAATATAGCAGCCTTTTTGGCTCTCTGGAAAATGTCTTAATAGCTGTGTTTGAGATTTATTTTATTTTCAGTTAGAGCCACACAGGTTGTAAATGAACCAGAATCCTACTCTATATCATAACCTTTGTTATAGAAGCTTTTCTTGGACTGCAAAGTACTTGATTTTACATATACGCTCATATACTATGGATTTTTCCTTTCCTTTCCTTTTTTTGTCAAATTATCCCAGTTCCTTGTAACACGATTTTGAGAGCATTATGTCAGCTCACCAAACATATTCACATGCCATGATTACATTTGAAAATAGGCACCCAGGAGAGACAAAATATACAAAACCTTTTAATAGAATCAGTTTTAATTAACTGAACTTGAATTTCATAAACATCAGTTTTGCTAATTAGTCAATTCAGCGACCCTTAGGCCTGTTTATTCCCTGCCACTTTTCTCACCCAAAGGATGCCAAATAATACAGTGAATATTTACAGGGAATTTTAAAGTGAGTATTTGCTTATTGTGAACACTGAAGCAAATCTGTGTTTTAAATAAAAATGTGTTCAACTTAGTGCGTTACCTTATGTTGACCTGAAAAGAACCAGCATGTGTCTCTCATTGGTAAATGCACTGACCTTGTGTCTAGTCTTATCTCCCAAAGTAAATAGAACCTCTATGTAACTCAACAGATGACGCAATCTCACCCTTTTTTTTTTTTTTAAATTTCACTTATATACAGTACATTTGCTTTTGGTTCATGTGTCTTTTAGATATCCATGAGCTCTAACTAGATTATAGACTCTACTGGAATAAAGGGATGCACTTTAAACTTTAAAATAACTGCACAATGACTTGAGTTGCAACAAAATGCTCAAGTTAATGATAACGCAATGCTGATTTCATAATCCTTGAACGCATCCTGTGAGCTAAATTCTGAATAGAAGGCCATCTGGCTCCCAAAATGAGTGCAATTCTTCAGCTCAACTCCCCATCTCATGTCAAATTAGCCTTACCTGCTGGAATTTTTAAAAAAAAAAATGTGCGTAATGTTTTTTACTTACAGCCCGACAGTGATAATGATCTGCAGCTCACATTGCTGCAGTACCTGCTCACTGTTGGCTCGTCCCTGAAATTAGGCCTTAAAACTATGCTTAGGCGCCATATAGTTTTATCCATTTTCATTACCGTGTCAGATCTTGTCTTTAATGTGGCAGGTAAGGGACCACCTGCTTTGTATTTGAAACATGTGAGCAGGGCTCTAGCCTTCCAGAGAGATGAGCGTGTCAGTTCCATCTCAGACACAGCTTGGGATTGCTAGGCTTCACCGAGCTCTAGACGTGTCTCAAACACCTGTCTCACTGATGAAAGTTGCACATAAATTATTTTACATGTAGGATCACTGCTGTGTGAAGGTTAATTCTTGGTAAGCCCCATGGTGTTCTAAGGCCCAGCGTCCAAGCACCATATCATGAAAACAGGCATAGAAATCAAGAGCTTTCTCAGGCTGTGGCGTCATGCTGAGTCCCCTCACTGAGTTGCACAGTGCTAAGAATTCAGCTGGCTTATCAGAAGGAGACTTATGACCACACACACAGATTCTTTAGATTTCGCCGCATGTCATGGCTCAAGGCTGCACAGATCACAGGTTTGTTGAACTTTGATTCACACCCGATTCAGCCGGTATGCTCAAGACAGTTAGAATTATTCCAGCATATTTTGCAAACCTCCCATTCTACTTAGTTATTTCGTGACTGCAGGCAGCTCTTATTTTATTTTATCAGGATCCTAGTTTCAGATTGATTGTGAAAACAACCGTTGATGCTGCACGCAGGTTACAGCCCCAGTGAACAGTGCTCTATTGACATGCTTCATTATTTACCCTTCCTGTTGCGCAAGTATGCAGGAAGTGCTGCTAGGATTTTGCAGCACATGGCACCATGTATCTCCTAAATTGGACCAAATGAAAGCAGGGAGCACGGGGACTGCTGCTTATTACAGCAAAGAGTTTTTGCAAAGATTTGAGTATGTCATCACAACTTATTTCAAAGTGAAAATATCGCAATAAGTCTGAGTCTCATGCTTGTGCTGGTGATGCAATATATTTAAAGCTAAACTGATTATTGACTTTGAAGTGATAACTACCAATGCATGTGCTCTGACTGAAGAGTAATGAGCTCAAAAACAGGAATTAAAGATAAGTGGGAAAAAGGCAGCCTGCAGTTCCTTGGTTAATAGGAATTATTGGAATTACTGGATTAAATTTCTGAAACTGCTTGTTGAACTATAATGAATTAATGTTTTAGATAGCTTCTTTTTAAGGATAGCTTTGGCAACATTTATTTTCCCATCGCCCTGCTTCAGGGTCAAGAAGAGGGGGGAAGTAAGCAGGGAATTGTAGCTTTCATCAGTCAACCTATCTGCAAATGCTCAGGCCCTTCTTTACCCTCATTAATGCAGTTAGTCATAGACTGACATTAATGACATTATTTGAAAGTCACCTTGCTGCTGGGCTGTATGGAAGACCTTTAGGTAAGCTGAGGTCAGGACGCTGAAATGCTTTATCCTACTTGTGTTTCTCCAGGCTCATGCAAGACTGTCCTGACACCTCTGTGCTTCAGCTGTCACCATCAGTCATACACAACACAACAGACCTGAATATTCACTCTAAATTTAGATGCTCTGATTGTCTAACAGTGAGTGTATGAACAGGTTACAGACTTCAGCTCGTCTGTGGGGAGAGTTTTAAAGGGTGGTCTGTAATCATGACTGAAGATTTTAAACTGTGACTGTAATTTAGTTGAGATATGATATCAATATAACAGCCAGATGTCAACTGGAGAGTCTAGCTGATTTAACTTTTGATATTATCAGCATGACATCACATGGATTTATAATATCTAATAGCTGTGTTTCTTTCTGACTGACTGTATAATAACCAGATGCAAACTCTGAGTCACCCCAAATGAGCCCTGCTTTTTCTTCCCCTCCCGTCCTGTCTATCTAATGCAAAGCTTACCATTTGAATAATGAGTTGTCAGAATAATTCTTCTCATTTACTAGATTTTTTGATTAATTTGACTGTTATAAGTTCAAATTCATTTATATAATAATAATAATAATGATAATAATAACAATAATAATAATGACTTTTCAGTACAGGTAACAAAGTGCGTTATAACTGTTAATATAAACCAGACAAACAGATTAAGTTAGAATTTAAATGAAATTAAAATAAGCATCACCCAATACATTTCTTTTTTTCTTTTTTTTAAATAGAAATGTGTCTTAAGAAGTGAAATAAAATGGGGAACTGACAGGAATCTCCACAGGTTGTTCCAAAGTCTAGGGGCCCTGGCAGCAAAGGCAAAGGGCCTCCTTTCTTTTAACCTTAGAGTGGCCAGCAAAGCACTACCAGGGGACCAGCCAATGCCTGTCCTTAAAAATAATTAGAAGCTAAAATAAATGGGCAAACAGTTATGCTTAAATGGGTATTTTTGAAAGACCTACATTTGAAAGGGTGATTTGTACAGATATGCTTGGGAGAGCGGACAGGAGAGAGCTTAGGGAACATAATTTATTTGATCAATTGATTTGCCTTGATGCTGCAACAAAATTTTCTAATGGGAGTACTAAAAAAGATTGTTGGATATTTGTGAATAAGTATTGATCATTATTATCAAATGCTCACTTGCAAATGTCTTGTTCACCCAGTCAAGTCATTTGAACTTGTGTTGACCTGTGAAACTCTGGGTAATTCAGAAGTTTGTTGATGCATAAAGTTTTATACTGTGGTTTAGAAATGTAGGTTTTGGTTGTGCTAGATGAATATTGAAAAAACACCTGCTTGTTCATGCATTTACCCAATCAGCTGATTATGTGGCAGCAGTGCAATGCAAAAAATCATTTAAATACAGGTCAGGAGCTTCAGTTAACGTTTACATCAAGTATCAG